ATGAGAAGTACAGAAGTAGGCTACAGCATAGTTTTATTCTAATAAATATTGTCAGTCCACAAGAGTAAAGGTAAGAACGAGTAAAGTACCCAACAGTTATCCCAACAGTGGGCCTAATTCAAAAGTTAAAAGTTAAGAATGTTTATTGGCTATTAGCAACACATTAGCTGCAGACAATAAGCATAGTGGCTAGCATGGTTAGCAAGCCACTTGTAGCAATTAGACTTGGGCTACAGTCATCTGGTGGCCAGAAACAAGACTCCAAATGAATGATGATGTTGATCTATAACTAATGGATGTGTAAATAAGTAACTGTTTGCTAACAAGTTCGGTGTATCAATTTAAAATGTGAATGAAATTATTAGTGGATGATCTCATAGTTTTTGGTGTAATCACCAAGAAAAATGGAGATTAACATTTTTATTTTATGGTTACCATATTTTCCTGCAATTTCCTCAGAAGTAACAGGTATTTATAGGAAGATTTTCTCATACTTTTGTATTAAGTACCAAGTGTTAAAGCACTATTGTGATAAATAGCAAGTCCAATGTAATGCTAGTTTAACCTAAACATTCTTTAGGTCAGCTGAACATAAAACATTTCAAATTTGTCCACAAACAAAAAATGTAATTAAATATTAAGGATAAAGTTTGAATGACTGAAATTTATTTACTAGGATTTAAAGTGAGCAGCAGGTGAAAGAGAAATGAATCACTGCAAATCAACAATTGCTTATAAACTCAACACAATTAAATAAAATCTATCAAAACTTTGTCTCTGTAATTAGTACTAAATTACATATTTCTTTCCATCTTTCCACCAAGGAAATTATTAAGAAGTGAAAGCAAAATGAGTCCAATAATTGTTAATTCATCACACTACTAAGCAGCGACACATTTCTATTCTAACTGAATGGGAATTCTTCACCTTTAAGATTAAATATACAGTAGATGATGTCAAGATGGAATATGATCCCTCATGTCACTTAATTGTGTCATTACAAAGACAGCAATCATTTTCTTTTAATCCACCTTGATGTGCTTAGTATTTTTTGTGCGCATGCCGTTGTGTTTGTCATTATATGTGTGTAAATGTGTTTCCTCCCCCTACATCAATCGTGGTTTTCTGTTGTCCCACACCAGGCCTCATCATCAGCGTCAATCTGTGGCTGTCACTCGGAGCTGGACAGTGACTAACGACACTCCCAGTCAGTCAAACACTTATCACCACACAGGTAACACACAGGCCTGGAAATGACTGACATGAAATGGAAACGTCTCTCATTCTGTGGGCCTGGGAGCTGAAGTGAAATATTAGCTATGGGAGAGATGGCGGATGATAAGAGGCTCCCTGTTTGAGCTGGAATTGTGGAGGTCCAAGTTCTATTACATTTCTTTTTATACTGAGGACTGGTATGAAGATCCTGTTTGTTGGAAAAAGCTTTCCTTTTCCATTAACTTTTTTATGCCTCATTCACCGTTTTCTTTACGTTACGCTTCCAATTTGCCAATAAAGTTCACTCTAACTCTCATCATGAGCTATTTGTGACTTGTTATAGTAGTAAATTGCGCTCAAGGCCAGTGGGTCGTTGTTTATACATGAGCCATCGTCCCAGAGGCTTTCTGTGGTCCACAGCACCAGACCATAGGCCAGTTGAAACCAGACTACAGCCTGCTCAATGTCAATGGGTCACATATGCTTACTCTGTCCCTCCTATTACTCATAGACTTCACCATGTCCTCCCTCTATCCCTCTTTTTCTTTCTCTCCCACATCTCCTTCATGCACACACACACACACACAATTCCCCCTGTGCAGAAAGATGGATGGGATGTTCCCAAACCACAGGTGCTGCTCTACTTGTGAGTCTTTCGCATTCTTCACCACACAGTCCAGACCAGCTCAGTTTTTTACTTTTTACAGTTTTCCCCAGTGGTGATTACTATGGTCCTTCAGTTGTAGGCTAATGAGGAACATGGAATATTACTAATGCAGAATACAATCAATCTGCTTGTCTATTGAAAGCTCTTTGGGAATGAGATTCTTTTGCAAGAATATCACAAACCTCATGAAGTTGAAACATTATGTCCAACTCTGCTCCCTGAGACATGGCCTCCCATCCAGACCGCCACTAGATGGGGTTAGTTTCATTTCCAACTTGTGTGTTTGCTGGTAACTCTCCCTGAAACTTAAACCACAGGCTAACTCCGCTGTGCAAGCTACGCCACCTTGTGGTGGAAATTACTAGAAGCTTATAAGAGAAATAATAATGGTTGATGCTGTTTGTCCAGACAGCAATAAAAAAAGCAGTGGACAAAATAATCCCACAAAATAAGGTACTTCTACCCCAAGGGGCATCCCTGCAGTTGCCAGGAGAGATTGTGGAGTTGTTCAGCTAATTTGGAAAAACAGAAAAATATATGTTTTGATTGTATTTATCCACATATTTGTGTTTAGGAGGAAAATAAACACACAAAAGGGATTACCAGTTCTAAGTGCATTCTCTCAAGTATTGTATTTAAGTAGTCTACAATTTTGTGGTACTTATACTTTACTTGAGTATATCCCTTTTATGATCTTTTTTTTTTAATCTTTCTAATCCACTGCTTTTAACAGCTGTCGTTACATTTTCAGTTTACGTATTTACATATAAAAACAAAGGGTACGCTTACATATTCAACACATTGTTAACATTTTAAACCAGTGTGTCCAAATATTTTGGCTAGTACAAACATTTCGGCTATTACAAAACGCAGTGTCTGCTTAGGGCCCATTATCATGTTTAAGTGTCTGTCAGATTTATCAGTCACGGGGGTTATTATACTGCAGAACAATTACTTCTACTTTTCAGAGAAAACTTCTGTACTTTCCCTACTTTACACTATTAAGTGCAAAAAGCCACAAAACCCCAAAAGTAATGGATAAATGGTTGAGCCATCCAGTTCAGTTTCTTTCACTCCAAATGGTGGTAGTGTAAATGCAATTTTGGCTGACTACTGAGGAGAAGAAAAAAGACATCAAGCTTAAACATCAATAATTTCATGATCGCATTAAGGATTCAATATAACCACTTTGTTTTCTATATCAAACAACTGACAGGGTACTCAAACCCATCTGACAGGACTGGTAGGACACGTAAGACACGTAAAGGTTTTGGAACCACTGATGGTTCTGGAAACATTACTCCCTCACTTAAGCTTTTAATTTCTGGTGAGGCACACATGGGACCATAACTTCGTTTGGTGTAGTAAATTGCATCATATTGCAAGGTGTCTGTGTTATTTTGTCCATCTGCTGTGCAAAACAGATGCCCTCCTTATGAATCAGTTGTTCTCTCCGGGTGATATTCTCATCCTGTACTTATTTAGGATCAAACTAAATCCGCCGAGAATTTGACTTGTTCACACAGCACATTTTGCAATAAGATATGACACATTTTTGCAGTTTCTCCTTTTTAAAGAGGCGTGAGAAGCACTTCTCCCTGGTGTTCTTAATGGGAACTGAGGGATCTACTCTATGTAAGCCATGCAGTACAGTCAAAGCGATGCATCACGTTAAGAGGCAAGAATCAAAGCTAAGTGTGTAGTTTAAACTGGAATATATAGAACACAGAACATATTCAGAATATAACGATGTGTTGAATGGTAAATCACATTAGTGTTCTCAAGACAGCTGCCAGGGTTCCCACGGACATCCATGGTGAGGCCCTCAGCTCTGCAGTTAAGCAGGAGCATGTTATTGACTTGACTGATGGCTTCCTGTCGTGAGAGGAAGAAGCAGTACAAAGGAGGAAAAAGAAAGAATGTGGTCTCACCTGAATTCAGCAGGTAGGCTGCAGATGTCTGGCACCTCAGTGACCACAATAACATCCCAGGTTTTGTTTATTACAGTCGATGTGCAAGACTGTAGCTAACATGTACTCTGTGGTACTTTTTCTTCCTCCATCTGTCTTTTCCCCTTGTCTTTCTATGTGTAGGTAGACATCCAATAACATTTAACAGACAGAATTAATGATCCTTTCATTTCATTTCCATCTTTATAGTTTAAACAAACATCCAAATTTAATGAACACCCAGTGGTACTTTTACATTTGCTTCTTTGACCTTTGAATGTGTAAACATTGAGTTGGGTTTATTTATTTTGCTTTGTGGAGATAATATCCAATGCTGTAAACCCCAGACCTCAGCTTTGAACATTCATCTGTATTTATATCAGATTGATACCAGCAGTGTCTGTGTGGAGGTGTCATGAAACTGTGATTTTGCAAGATCATCGCCCAAAGCTCACCCATCAGAGAGGAATGAAAAGCAGGCCACCAACCCACCATTTAGACTTGCGTGGCTTTGATGTTCTAAGTTTCTGTGGCACAAGTTAACAGCTACGTGCTGTCGAAAAGTTGTGGCTGAACATTGGAGATTTTTGTAAGGTAGTAACACCTGTCTGTCTACCACCTGTCTGAGCAGCAGCCGTTGTGAGGCCATTGTGGGAAGCTTTTTTCATGCCAGTTTGAATGGGCATTCGTCAGCATTCATTGTGAAACTGCCAAGTCATAGTCAAACTCAGACGAGTTTCAACAGTTAAGAGTGTCGGCACAGACGGTGGCAGAGACTCTCACTAGGAAGATGTCTAGTCAGATTGAAAACCTTGTGGATTGAACTAGCCACATTGTAGTGTGTTTTCCACCACACCAGATACGTTACACCAGCAAAAGCACTTGAATGCTTTCCTGTTTAAAGTAGATTTAATTCGTTGACCTCATCACTTTAACCAGTATTCATTTACAGTATGTGCTTGAAACTACGGTTGCTCCTCCTTCCTGCTATTTTTTTGTGCTGTGAGGACATAATACCTCCCCTTGTTGGTTTCATCTTGTCAAAGGACTGCAGTTGAAAATGAGCCATCTGGCTAACACTGAACTATCTACAGAAATAGTGAATAATGTGTGTTGTCTTGTCTTACAAATAAATACATTTAATAACATAGCAATGACGAAACGTGGTGTATGCTTTAGATTTTTATAATTTTTAATTGTTGTTTTGAACCTGGAAATCAAAAATACAATATTTTTTTTTATTTAGTTACAGCAGCACACAGCAAATACATGAAGTAACAAATGTAAAAATACAAACACTTAAAAAACAGTATTTACACTAATTTACAGTTTATACAGTAATTCCAAAACATGTGAATGTGACTGTGAATGTAATGAATATAAACTGTAAAGACATTTTTGCTTTCAAAGTTGGAAATGTTATCATTGCTCTGTAAGTAATGCATGAGGAACAAAATTAAAAAAGGTGATCATGTTGAACTAGGTTCAGGTCTCAGGTGTAGGATTTTAGGAAAGTTTAGGAAAATGGGCATTCATATGGAAAGGGCAGGTGTAGTATCAGTATCAGACATGATGGAGGGACGTTTGGGAACCGCCTGCAGTTTGCTGAGCCCTCCTTTTCCCAGACCGCCAGCACACATCTTCACAATCCTCAGGAGGTCTTGTCTGAACCGAACTCCAATGAAGACGTATAGGAATGGGTTCAGGCAGGCATGAGTATATGCCAGACTCTTGGCAACCTGTCCAGCTACATCAAAACCAATTACCGTGTCACAGTTGGTGATAGTGGTATTAGCTGCCTGAGTGGCCTCCATTATCAGCAGACTATTGTAAGGCAGCTGTGAGAAAACAAACACAAACACCACAGCAAAGATGACACGTAGGGCCTTGTGCTTTTCAAAGCTCTTGGCCTGTAGAAGTGTGCGAATGATGACAGAGTAACAAAAGATCATAACTAGTAGAGGTAGGCAGAAGCCCATGCAGATTTGCAGGGACAACACCAGGATCTTAGTCCGATTGTTTCCGTTGTTCCAGTAGACCAGAGCACAGGACTGCCCTCTTTGGTTGGTCTTCACCTGGGCAAAGATAAACTCAGGGAGGGCCAGGAGAGTGGAGAGAGACCAGACGCCAACACAGGCAAGTTTGCTGTAAAACAGCCTCTTCTTCTTCAGGTTTTGAGCCTTGGTGACTTGAACAATCGCAATGTAGCGGTCCACGCTAATGCATGTGAGCAGGAACATGCTGCTGAAGAAGTTGATTTTGTAGATAGCTGACACTATTTTGCAGAGACTGATGCCAAAGTCCCATCCCTTGGTGGCATCGACAGCCCAGAAGGGTAGCATGCACAAGAAGAGGAGGTCTGCCACAGCCAGGTTTAGCAGGTACACGTCCGTCATTGTTTTCAGGCGGTTGCGCACAGTGGTGTAGATCCAAACCACCAACAGGTTGCCCACAGCGCCAAGGATGAAGATTATCCAGAAGAGAGGTGGTTCGTACTGCTGACGGAACACCCTGACCGAGGTTCTGTCACACATGCCTGAGTTTTCAGTTGGCCCTGTGTCATAGTCAACGTACTCAGGTGGGTCCTGCAATCAAAACAGAAAAACTGATCATCTGATGCGGCATTAAAGAGGGTTACGTGTATCACATGCTCTTTTATTCATTTCCTGTCAGGCATGTTTTTTTTTCTGCCCTTGTTGCCCAACTCAGTAGCTTAACTGTTGTCAGGGTTTCAAAACATAACATGCTTCTAGTGGGGATACGATGTTATGACATCAAATGCTTTCTGTGACGTACAAGCTAACCAAAGCGTGCAAAAAAACTGTTGTCAGGTGCAGGTGTTGTGTCTGTGCAGGAGAAACCACACTACTGCACAACTTCCTGCTGCTATCCAAGCCTGAGGGGGGTGAACGATCCCGAGGGGCTCTAGAAAGGGGCCCACAGCAGAACTCGGTACCCCAGAAGCATCAAACTTAGATTTAGGGCAGAGATAAACAACGGAGTGAGGCTAGGGGTTAGGTTTTAACAAACAATGGAAAATTTGATGCTGATACGCCTAAGACTGTGACAATCGAGAATCCTACAGGTGTCTGCTTTACATAAAGCTAGTACCTGGAGCATGACATCAAAAGTATAAACATACCAAAAAAGAATGCAAAATATATCAGATTTAATAAGAGCTCCAGCATGGTTTTGTTCACACAGCAACCTGAAGTTCCTGAAGTTTTAGCAAACGGTATTCTTTCAAATCATACTTTTAATACTGCAGCATAAACAAGGAGACACATGCACTAAAAAGTTTTCTTTTCCGTGTCGGTGATGGTAAGTAGTCAGCACCAACAGTGTCACATTATTTAACAGCCTTTTTAATCTACTCAGTCATGCAGTCATCCCCATTTCTACATTACTAATGTATTGTTTTATTGCCTAGAAATAATTATCCCAAAGTAATACTTACAGTTTCAGTACTGAACAGCATTTCTGTGGATCCTGTGGTCATTAAAGTTGTAAATGACTCATCCATGTTATCTACAAAGAACCATAGGATATTAAAATAAGACAATACACAAAAAACTTGCAAAAGCATAACAAGGATAAAATATAACATATGTGGAACATTAAGCTTAAAGGTTAAATAGAAAATGCCATGTAAATTTTCTACAATTTTGTAGCAGTGCAACAACTCACTTACCCACTCACTGATGAGACGTTGAGAGCAACCCTCAGTCACAGTTCTGTTTCTTTGTCTGAGTAGTACAACTGGTAAATTAAACCAGACTCATCTTCACTTGCTTATATGGTTTCCCTTTAACCACAGGATCACGTGCCAATATGTATCACTCCATCTCTGTGTCAGCCTGCAGAAAAGGAACAACACACGACCCCTGGTGCTGTAGACTGTACGTCGTTGCCCAAATACAGCACACAAGAAAAATATGCATCACATTGAAAGACTTGTGTGATCTTTTAACAGTAACAACAGTGTGCCAGTTTCAGAGGGAAGCTGTGACTTTTAGATTTTGCCCACTGAACCATGGCCATCAGGCTGGAACCAAAACAATGCACTCACATTCCTTTCACAGTCGATTAAGTTTGACCAAGTCGAAGCCCATTTTTGACACACTTTGTGTACACAGGTGGAGCACTTAACACCCAAGATGAGTGATGCATGAAACTGAAAACCGTGAGCTGTGATTAAAGACCAACACCGAAGGAGGTAGTCGATGTTGAGGTGCTGTTAGTGCTGCTGTTTCATAGCATCTCAGGCAGGCAGTGTGGCCAAGTGCCTAAAATGACTGTCAGCCATTAACTTTCCTTTCAAGTGTCCTCTTACGGAATAAACAAGTATGTCATGTGTGAGGGAAGTCTTTTCACGAGGTTTCAATTTCCTGGGTACTAAGTGGTGATGAAATGGACTTAGAAAAACAACATCCCTATTTATCATAAAATAAAGTTATGTTAAACTTATTATAGTTTGGTAACTTATTTTGTACCGATTAAACAAAATATATGGGAGTTTATGATTCAGCTTTAGAAGTGCTGGAAGGTGAATTTTTTAAGCTTTTGGAGAGAGCCAGGCTAGACGTTTCCCCATTTCCACTATTTTTGTTAAGTTCAATCTGGTGGCTAAGCGTCAACAGATATGACAGTGGTATTGATCTTCTCTAACACGAAAGTGAACATGCATATTTCCCAAAATGTCAAACTATGTCTTTGGCTGGATTTGAGTTTGTTCCGAGTAAAATTTAACTGCATGACTCAGCTTCATACAGTAGCATAGGCGCTGCACTGTACAAAAAAAACAAAAGCCCATATTCCAGTATCAGTTCTTGCCAAGTTAAAATGCATTCATGTGACATGAAAAAACAAGAACCTGCTGTGAGGACAGGGAAATACAAAGTTCATTGGTATTCCTTGGCGTAAAGGGAAATAAATTAAATGACAAACAGTCACATAGCTGACCACACTGTTAAAAAACAAGTAAAAAGTCCCCACTATCTGCTTCATCGGAAGTCCAAACAAAATCGAGACTAAGAAATAAGCAAACTCATCTTGAGTAATCAGGACCAGGTCAGGAAAAGAGTTTAGAAAGTTAGTTTATAAGCCAAGGAATGTGTTTAACTGAGATTTCTGGTTGTGTTTCCTTGTGTGTCTTACTCTGTTGGGGCTGTTTTGGCCCCTGTGATGGTTCTCTGTAGGATAGAGTAGGGTTCTCAGTTTCACTTCCCGGCCTGATATAATCGCGTGAACACTTGCAGAGCGTGTGAGCCATCAGCTCTTCAGATTTCTACCAAAAGCTGGTTGTGTTTCTCGGTTTTGATCACACTGAGGCCCAGGGAAACGGCTGTGTCATGATCTCAAACGTAATTTCCTTCTGGGAACAAGCTGTTGAAGAAAGTGGCAGAACAAGAGGTTTCACTCACACAACAACACTAACCACCAAAACTAACTGACTGCGTTGTTCAGACTGGTGGCCATATAAAACGCTGTGTGTGCAGAAAAGAGAGCATGACATACTGTAGAAGGTCAAAGTTAAAATGTATTCACTTGTACACAAAAATAGAAGACAATGCCATATATGTCTATGAAGATTCTCAGTCATCCAGGTCATAGTTATCCAACGATACTGGAAAGGTCTTTCCAGTATCTTCAACCAAGTCCAGTTGCCCTTGATTTTAACCTTCGTTAAATGCCATATATAGGACCCAAGTTGAAGATTAGATACACAATGACAAATTTTAATCTATGCAAAGAGAATACTAGGAACTACTGATTTTTATCTCGATTGTGACCTTATGAACTTTATGGCTGACATTTCATATTGTGTCACTTATCTCTTGCAATGATGCGTACTGTTATTATTTTTGTAGAATACATAGACTGCCCTTAGGTTCATTCATTGATTTTACATGCTTCCAGGCAACAAAGAGTCTTTTAACGCGTTCATCTACATGTGTGCGTGTATGTGTGTGTGTGTGTGTGTGTGTACAGTATGTGTATGTATACAGTATCTCACAAACGTGAGTACACCCTTCACATTTTTGTAAACATTTGATAATATCTTTTCATGTAACAACACTGAAGAAATGACACTTTGCTACAATGTAAAGTAGTGTGTGTACAGCTTGTATAACAGTGTAAATTTGGTGTCCCCTCAAAATAACACATCATACAACCATTAATGTCTAAACCCCTAAGTAAAAATGTCCAAACTGGCTCCAAAGTGTCAATATTTTGTGTGGCCACCATTATTTTATAGCATTGCCTTAACCCTCAGAGCTTCACAGGTTGCCACTGGAGTCCTCTTTCACTCCTCCATGACGACATCACGGCGCTGGTGAATGTTAGAGACCTTGTGCTCCTCCACCTTCCGTTTGAGGATGCCCCACAGATACTCAATAGGGTTTAGGTCTGAAGACATGCTTGGTCAGTCCTTCACCTTTACCCTCAGCTTCTTTAGCAAGGCAGTGGTCGTCTTGGAGGTGTGTTTGGGGTCGTTACCATGTTGGAATACGGCCCTGCGGCCCAGTTTCCGAAGGGAGGGGATCATGCTCTGCTTCAGTATGTCACAGTACATGTTAGCATTCTTGGTTCCCTCATTGAACTGTAACTCCCCAGTGCTGGCAGCACTCATGCAACCCCAGACCAGGACACTCCCACGACCATGCTTTGCTGTTGGCAAGACACACAGCCAAACATGCTTGACCCCATCTGAACCAAATAAGTTTATCTTGGTCTCATCAGACCACAGGACATGTTTCAGTAATCCATGTCCTTAGTCTGCTTGTCTACAGCAAACTGTTTGCGGGCTGTCTTGTGAATCATCTTTGGAAGAGGCTTCCTTCTGGGACAATACCCATGCAGACCAATTTGATGCATTGTATGGTCTGAGCACTGACAGGCTGATCCCCCTTCAAACTATGCAGCAATGCTGGCAGCACTCATACGTCTATTTCGCAAAGACAATCTCTGGATATGACGCTGAGCACGTGCACTCAACTTCTTTGGTCAACCATGGCGAGGTCTGTTTTGAGTGGAACCTGTCCTGTTTTGAGGGGACACCAAATTTACACTGTTATACAAGCTGTACACTCACTACTTTACAATGTAGCAGTGTCATTTCTTCAGTGTTTTTACATGAAAAGATAATCAAATATTAACAAAAATGTGAAGGGTGTATTCACTTTTGTGAGATATATGGGGAGGAAACATGCTAACTCCACAAACGAACGGCCTGATGCTCTTGCAAGAAAAGAGCAACTGGCAGAGTTATTGTGCTAAGACGCCTCAGTTTTATACATCACCATGAATTTGATTAAGCACTTAATGTATCATCTCAGAGTCATGTATGAATAATACAGAAGCCGTTGGTGATACTCACAGATACTCACAATGGAGAGGTCACAAAACACACATATATGACAGCAAAAGCCACCAAATCTGCACCAGATGTCTGTTTCTTAACATTTACTGTAGGTCTATGACCGCAATGTGAAAACTTAACATTCTATACTCTATATACTGTATCCTGTAATATAACTTTAATTTCGAATTTTGAAATACTTGATAACTTCAGTCAATTGGGAGCTTCTTCTATCTCTATGCTGTTATAAATAGTCTGGTTCACATGCCATATGACCTGACAGCCCTCTAACTGGTAGTGAAAATTTTCAGGCCTACGATTCACAGGTTGCGACAAGGTTGAAAAGCCATGTATTAGTCACCAGTATTGCATTATGCAGGCCGCAGGGTTTTAGCTAGTTAACACGGTGCTGTGCATAATGAGAAAGGGGGGAAACCCATCTACTGTAATTAGTCCACTTCAATGAGTTTTACAAATAATAACCTTCATGTGGTCAAATAATGCACCTGCAGTTACTAAACCGTTACAACTTATACCTGAATTCACGATCCTGAGAAAAACAGTCAAATGAGAAGCATATGTCAATCATAGTCGTCAAGCTCAAAGTGCAGTGTAAAATACAATACACAGCCATGTCATGTTTTATTTTTGGTCTAAAATAATTGCATAGTTAGATAGAGGTTTTCTTGATTTTCACGATATGCACGTGATGTCTCTGTAATAAGACTATGTTGACTCAAACCTGAAACCTGATTCAGCAGTTTTTAATCAGGTAATCGTGTAAATCATATACTTGTTCCGCATTACTTATCCTCTCAATGTTCTTTTTAAGCAGAACTGTCAAATCTAGAAGAGTTAAAGGACACAGAATACCAGCTTGAGTGTTGCATCATTTGCTGAACTCACCTTAGGATGTGATATTTCACGGAAAATTATATCAGCAAGATAAAAACTAACACATTGAGCAATCATTCTCAGAAGTGATATGTTAATCTTAATATGTGGCAACTTTCTGTAAGTGTGAGATTCAGATTTTAAAGTGATATGGAGCAGCCCCTGGAACCTGGGACCTGTTAGCTCTCATTATCTTTTACAACCTTGATCACTGCCTCTAGACTGGCTTGGGCCACAACCCACATGCATACAGCCAACGCCTACTGATCAGGAGATAAGGCTGAGGAGCCAGGAGATGGAGCAGAGGCAAAAGATCTCTGGGAAAACCTAAAACACAGATATTACACACATGCACATTTTTTCACTTATGAATTCAACGTTTCATTTGTATGGCTAAGAAAGGGTTATTTCTTCGTTAAAAGGTACAGGGCATAACCTTTATTAAAGGTAAACATACCATGTGCTGCATAGTCTATCTCTGCTTTCTTTATGAAGCTGTGTGATACTACTGCTGGGGGAAATATTTCATCGCAGGAAGATAGTAGTAGCTTTTTGGCCATACAACATGCATTTGTAATGCAGGACTGAACAGTTAAAGCAATTTGTTATTCCTCTAAAAATCACAGTCATTATTTTTAAACTTCATGCAGCACTCTGGACTTCACCGTACATTCTGAAACTCTCTTGAAATGTGTTTTATGTTTCCAGCAAAAGTCTGCTTGATGATTCTGGAGAAAAACCGAAGCTTTTGTCTTGCCAGTGAAACTTAGAAAACCCCTTTGATGCATTGTCAGTGAGCAGGAAGCTACTGTGAATGGGTACGCCACTCTCTGACATACATTATATTAACAATTGCCCCATATTGTGGGAAAGTACTGCCACTGTCACTGCTCTCAGCAGTGCAAGAGATTGAGTTTGGTGCTGAGAGAAACTCGTCACCACTTCCTGTGTACCTGCTCGCTGTGATTTATTTCATGCACTGATAGACAACTGTTCAGCATTTGCATCCTATCTGAAATTATCAGAAGTTTTCCCATGACAGTCACTGTTCAGCTACTAACAGAAAACAGATGCACACACGCAAGTATCAACTCACATGCATAAGCACTCAAAAGTAACACAATCCCCTGATCTTTGGATAAGAAATTATATGCCTTTTCTTTCATGTATCACCTTTTACAATCTCGTGCTTTGACAGCAGGACAAAGGTTTTAATAAAATGTGTTAAATATCATGTGCTAACTACATGTGGTTTTCATTGGTAGCCTTTAACCCCCCCCCCTTTTTTTCTGCACCTATAGGAAGAAAAGTACACCATGCATACAACCCCTGCACATGATGCAAAACCAACACAGGTTGAAGTCAGAACAGACTGTGGCTTGATGAGTTTCACTGAAAACAACAAGGGGGGTTGACGGTTGACTGACTGATGCCCACTTTGCTTCTTATGTTGCCACTATCTCAATCTACTTTGGTTAACACAAGGCAAAAACAATGAGGTCTCTTTGTAGATACTTGAAGTAGATGAGCAGATACAGAGATTAAATGTGTTGAATTCAAAACAACAAACTTGCAACTGCAATGTGTCAGACCAGGTGATAAAAAAAAACTGCAAGTGATAAAATAACACCCTAATTTAGAGTTTTGATAAAAACAACTGAAGGATGTATCTCACAATCATTTGTGTCCCTTTCCTGATGTTTAATCAGTTCAAAAATGACCTATAAGTAAATTGGTCATTATCTTTAATTCAGCACATGTATGGCATTATACAAGGACAAAAAAAGATACCATCATAATAGCCATGCTTACTGTAGTTAAAATGTATGTAAGCCTGGTGGGCCGGCATGCAAAACAAGTACTGTAATAGCAATATCTCCAGTCTAACCAAGGACAATTATTAATGCATGTCATCCAACTTTTCTCTCTACACACTCGTCCTGTCCAATAGAGAAAAATATCTCACCATAAGTATCCTTACCTTCTGTGTTGCTAAAGTCACTTTATACTCCCTTCCACGCTATCTGTGTCCACTCTAGTCATGATAATTGAGGTATCAGGGGATCCCGGAGGCTCAGTGACTAAAGTGTGCACCATGTAACCGTGGCCTCCTCAGTCCCGGACGTATGTCAACCAAATCTTCTTCTTCCACTTTTTTAGACTTTGTCCTCAGAGTCTGTCAGGCTGACGTGACAAAAATAATGTTGGGGGAAAAGAGAGACTGGAGTATTCATAGATGTACTGGCCTGTAAAACCATACAGTGGTTAACCAATGAAGCAACACTGCAGCTTTTATTTGAAAACAGTCCATATCCTCTTTAATACTTTGTATACCTGTTAACAGGAATTGTATGAATTAAGGCCGCATTTAGCCACTGAGATCATACATTCCTATGTTATTTAAGTGTACAGCTTTTCTTGGTTTATGAAGAGGCATGTCTTTTAGTAATCTGTGCATTGTTGTAGTATGGTGCCCCCTTGTCACTTCCACAAACATTGATGTTTATGTAGTGTTAAATCAATCATCATTTATTCATATTGCCTTTTAATTCTTCCACTTTTGTATTGTTTATTTGTGTCACAAACCCCTGAAGCCTATCCCAGCATGCAGTGGGCCAGAGGAGGAAGACACACTGGACATGTTTCCGGGACATGTTTACTGTCTGATATTTTCATGAGGCCAGAACATGTACTACAGCTCAAATATTACAATCAAATCAGAAAGCCATTTCTTAATCTTCAGTGAATTCAAGTGATGTTTAGATGATTAAATTTATCCCAAACTTAAAGTGAAAAATTAAAAGCAATATAATGATGACAACCTACGATGACTTAAATCACTAAAAATTACCACACATTTATTTGGTAACAGCTTTTATTACCCCATACGTTGCACAATACAAACAAATGCACATCTAGTGTAATACAAGGTAGATGTATCATACTCTACAAGAGCATTACTTCATGAACATCATGTATATTTATAGATTTTTTTCTTACACCCCGTCACCCACAGCAATACGAAAAGTACACAGTTAAAGATTCCAGACAAAAATATTCTATGCCCTTTGTGTAGGGAAATCTTTCTAGATCACTATCCATGTCAGTTAATATGCAAGAGCAAAAAAAATGAATGCAAGAAATTTGGTACATTTTCAATGATCAGACTTTCACAGAATGTCAGATCATTGGAAATATTTGTTGTGTGAAATGCTACTAAATGTTTGGGTAACAAATTAAAGCAAGGTTGACCAAAAGGGTCATTACTTAAACTGTTCACTATTAATTAAAAAATGGCTTAGGGTTTGCTTGGAACTCTGGGTCTAGCTCAATAAGGTTTGAATTTTGACTACAAAACGGGCTTCTAAAAGTAAGACTGATCATATCAACATATCAACAATCAATTACCTGGTGCTAGAAAGCTAAATATTACCTATAACCATCAGATAGATAAGACTGCAAAGCTTCAGGCAGACAGTACGTATCTGTCAAATTCAGCTAATGGACAAGGCCTCTTCAAACAGGGACATGATAATAATTGCATAGAGCACTGAGGGAAGTCTGCTAGCTACTGTACGTGAGCTCCAAATTGAGACGTAGAAAAAAAGCACAGCTGAAGAAGGCTATCATTTGTCACTACTTCATTTGCGTGTTCAGTTGTGTGTACTGTCAACCTCCCCGCTCCCGTTTACTTTACAAAAGCCAATAACTACTGAAGATGCCAGATAAAGCATGAATAAACAATTCCTCGTGGAAGTGCTATTTTCTGTCTCTCTTGTCTTACAGCAGTGGAAATGATGGTTTCTTCTTTAAACCATCATGTATTTTGGTCCCGTCTTACACTCCGGACACCTGGAAAACCAGCTGCCTTGGGTAGAACTCATTCGTTGGGCTCATATCTGAAACAGAGCAATAACAGCATTACAAAGCTGAAATTAGACACATTGCTTTGGAGGGGTGTTGGGGTGTTGGGGGGGGGGGGATCGACACAGCATAGTACTGCAATATTTTTCGTGGCAATACTGTATTGATACGCTGAGGCTAAGCATTGAATTTTTATTATATAAATTGTACATGAGAATTTTACTTTTTAGCTCTATAATAATAAAATAAATTGCATTTTCAGTCCACTAGAAAAAGAGGTTTCCTTTGGGGACACAATCTGAAGTTGGAAAAAGGTAATAAATTCCAATACATTACAATATGTCTGAAATCGCAATAATATCATATTGTGACATAAGCATCGTAATAATATCGTATTGAGGGTGAAGTGACATTTTAAGTTTAAAAAAAAAAACATGATTCCACAGGACCACAGGGTTTCCAATTTTTTGTTGTTTTGTTTTGTTCTTCAGACAGCGATTGCCCTCTAAGAATGCCACCATCTAGAGGGATGATATTTGCATTGTTTTCTTCTTGAAGATGAATACCCACCTCTGCAATCGTTTTCTGATTTCTTTGATCTGCTCATTCTTCTTGGTTAGGATCTCCTTCATGTTGCGGTAGGCTGCAGTTTGCTGAAACTTCTTCTCCAACTCCTGCATACCACACACATACATAAACACAGAACCTCACTGCACCTAATCAATTGCCCCAACAATAACTGGGCAGTAGAGCAAGTTTATCCGCCCCAAACATATTTGACCAACACTTGACAGTTGGTGGGGGTTAACTTGCTGGTAAAGACGACAGAGATGTACCTTCTCTGCCAATGACAGCTGCTCCTGCACTCGCAAAAGGTCGTGTCTGGCAGATATCAGGTTCTCCTGCAGATCTTTCTGGGAGACAGCGTTGGTACTAAGAGACCTTTCATAGTCTTCCCTCAGAGCTGCCACTGTGTCCTCGAGGCTGCTGATCTCCTGAGATTGAGCAGCCAGCTTGAAGGGGGAAAAAAAACACAAGTTCAGATAGAATAAACGGCAGTCATCGCCACTCTACAGAATCTAGACCCTATTCACATTGACAGCCAAAAGTAACACTGTGGTCAGCGGGATACATACCATTTGAAGTCCAAGTTGAAAGATCAAATCAAATGAGAGCAAATGTTCAGATGCAGTAAAATAAAAAATGAAAAGTAAAAAAATAAATAAATGAGAGGTAAAATGGAAAGCAAACTCAAAATGTCACAAAAGAAGATGATGTTACTTGCACGCCGAACTCCAAACAGTACCTGCTGTTCACCATGCACCTTCTGAAGGTCCTTCAGAGCCCTCTCTGCCTTGGTTTTCTCATCTAGTGCACTCATTGCCTAGAGACATTAATCAGATCAGAGAGTGAACGGTATAAACTTGATGCTGTGCGTTTAAAAAATGTATGGCTAACTGTTATACCTGGGTTTCTATAGTCCGCAGCCTGGCTTTCAGTTTATCATTTTCCTCCTGTAGTCTTGCTATCTCCTGAATAAATATTAAGATAGGTATAAATACGATAATGATGGTAAAACTTTCTACAATAAATCTGTATATGTAATTCATGCAATATATTTCTTTACCTTGTTAAGAAGTTCAGACACCCCACCTTCATTCAGTGGTGCCAGCTTGGGTTTGCCTGTTTCCTGGTTTATCTGGGAATGCAATATTAAACACTTCACAACTGAAGCAATGACCAAACAGCTCTTATTCCTTAGTCTAAAACATGTTGGATATATCTTGCTATTACTAGTACATGAGTATGGAAATGAAAACACCATTTTTATATCTGTCTAGTCTTGCTTTTCTTAGAAACGTGAGTCTGACTAGGGTCTCCCTTATCAGAAAGGTGTGAATAGCTTAGCCCATAAAAGAGCACAGTATTGTATTACAAAGATGATTTGTTTTTCTTTCCCCTTGCATAGTAAAACCACAAGTCAACCTCAGTGACTTCTGAACCGCACGGCTACGTGTGAAGGGCAGACGAGCTGACATATAAAACTACTTAAAATGCAAAGGAACGCCGCACTGCTCTCTAGTTACTGAATGCCATGTGGGTGTAAATATCCTTGACACATGATTAATGGCAACTACATTGATGGTGATGTTTCATGGTCTGCATGTGTCTTGAGCTGCACATTATACTCACCTTATCAGCGGTTTTAAAGTCAGTCTTCTCAAATTCAGCCACTTGTTCTAACAGCTCCCTATTTGGGTCAGGAAGAACAAAGAATTGGATGGCGGAACAATGAAGAAAGTTACAGAGAGTACAAAATAAATCTTGAAATCTTATCAAATATTATCTAAATTGTTTTGCCTCTAAAATACAAAGTATGGAAAGTTAACGTCAATATTTTGTGAGTAACACTGAATAAAGTGAAACTGAACGGAAAATGTGCACTCTCTCCTCACACAACGGTCGCCTTGCCACCACAAAGTAGAAGATGTTTATAATTTTTGACATTACAATAATCTGCTATTTGGCAGTTGTGTATCTTTGGCAAGGAAAACAAACACCCTTGTTCCTAATGGCAGTTTAGCACTTATGCTATGAGATATGTGCTTGTGGTGGGGAGAACAGTACTCTGAAAAGCTTAAATGTGGTTTTGAAAACAGCAGCTGAACACACGTAGACTGTAACATGGGGCGTATTCCTTGCTTTAAACACCCTATCAGTCACGTAAGGCCCTGCAGGAAAAAAATAAGCTTCAGAGCTTGTTTATCCACCCACCATGTGCACACTACAACAAAAGAACCTCTTTCAAAACATGCTCATAGTTTTAACAAGGTGAAAGGTTGCAGAGGTCAAACGTTACATTAAGTTCACCTGAATATCATAAAAGTAAATTCAAACCTGTGTATGTGTACCGTTGAGCTTTACAATGATCTCACTGGCCAACAGTGTTAGATCGTATGTTAAGCTGCAGAGGTGTGAATTTATGAACATTTGCTCTGATAGTGAAGATTACTGAAAAACCTTGCTTCCGTCCATCTCACTGACAAAAAGAGGAACAGGGCAAAGCTTTAGTTTGACATTCAAATTTGTGAAACGAGGCAAACATTTCACACAACTGCTTTTGATATTATGTATCCTCTGAATTATTGTGAATCTGTATTAATATATTTATGCAAAAAAGCCTTAATACTCCATTTGCCAAAATGTTAAGAATGCAAAGTAGATTCTGACAACAGTTCAAATGTGATTTATCTTTCTTAGTGGACTCACATGTACATGCCTGCATTGCTCTATGTTCAGGCTTGTATATAGAAAAAACACTTTAAGGCACTTTTGGCATATTTGCCTGGTAAGAACAGCAAGAACGGCCTTTTAGGTAATTTAAAGTTTACTGTATAGATTAATTAATTAATTTTAACACACGTGCCCACAAACACTTCAAATGCATGCACACATATAACATGAGCTGCTAATGATAATTTACAGTATAAAAAAACAGTACAGTATACTATATACTGTGGTATATATATTAACTTTATAACTTTTTAAATTAAACATTAGTACTTGTGTTAATTATTGTAAATGTGTAACAATATGTAAATTTGCTGGATGTAAGAACTGAAGAGTGAGTTCACGCACATTACAAAATAACATTTTTTTATGTACCACTAGAGGTAAGTAGCAATGCAGAAAGTTTTACTTTTTGTTGGGAAAGCTTTAAGATATCGGCTGCTGAGATTTCTGCAATTTTCGATGGACTAAAAGAAACAAAATATTTAATTTGAAGAGAATTCAATTATCCTGTTTTTTGGGGTAACACATTATTTAAATTTAGTTTTTTAATGAGATTCATTAAAATTCACTGCACCACTCACCTTTATTCTATCTGACTGGCAGAAAGTCAGATATAATTAATACAAATTTAATTTTTGTAATTTGGGTAAACTGACCTTAAAATAAAGTGAGATGGTGACTGAAGTTAACTGAATATCACTGCAAACAGGAAACCACTGTTATGGAAAAAGGGGCTTAAATTCACACAGTGGAAGCAAGCATGTGGCTTAGCAATTACCTTTGTGCCTGGCATATAATGTAACACTGAAGAGGAAGTGGCACCAAGTGGAGGAGTTTATCTCAGGAACGTGAAAGTGTAATTTGTGTTCAGAGGCCCAGCTGACTTATTTTTAAGTGTGGCTCTATTTGACCTTGAACTGATAATTTAGTTTAAATAGTTTTAATTTGATGATGTTTCTACAGCTAACTGAATGTGACATGTTGTCGTTGGGTCGTTTTTGTGCATAAAAGATCCATATCTTTTGCACACAGTTTATGATGTCAGCAAAGCATCTTAATTTGAACAAGATAATAATAATTGTGCACACTAAATATAAAATATTTCCTTTTGTCAAATGTTTACTGGGTGTTAGTCTATTTACTCAACAATTTAGAGGAAGCCTGAATCTTCTTCCTTCCTCACTTCTCACCTGTTCTCCAGCTCAGAGATATCACTCTGCAGTCGAAGGTAAAACTTCTCGGCCTGGGAAAAGAGCTGCCTGAGCAGCAGCACATTAGTGTGGGCTGTGTTGATGAGCTCCATCTCCACCTCCCCACGCACCACTACCTGCAGCCCGTCCAGCATCTCCCTCACCTCGTCCACTGTGAAGGTTTCGTCCACCAGCCTTCAGACAGAAACATACATGCACACAGGTGTATGTTAAAGGTCCACCTGAACTGCAAAGCACTTAACTGTGTTAAATGTTTTCCTTCTATTGAATATGCATCTTAAGTTTATTAAATTGAAGTTATTAAAGTTGAATTAACATACAAACAATGGTACCAAAACCCTAAGTATGACCAGTCACCTGCTATCTTTGAGTTCTTCAAAACATGAGTCAATAGTCTTTAGTCTCAGGACCCTCTTTGAACGTGCAAATCGCATGTAATTGATGACTTCATTCTGATGGTGTTCATTAAAGCCAAATTCAGCCTGCATGGAGACAAGAAGGGAGAAACTGGTAAAACGATTGTCATGAAAGACAGAGAGAGAGACAGAGAGAGGCTGTAATGGAAACCACAACTAACTAGCTGATAGGCTAGCCTGAAGAGGATTTTTTCCCCTGCTGTGACAGGGCCTATTAACATGAGCTTGCACATACAAAGTGCTACCTATGGAGTCGCTTGCTAGATGTGGACTCATCTTCGCAAAAGAGAAGGGGAGACGTTTAGCTTGCTAACTTCTACAAGCAAACAGGTAGCCACGCAATCCATAAATAGCAGATAATAGCAGCTACTTACCATGGTGGCTTTGGAGCTAACGTTGATGTTACTACGTTAGCTAGTCTAGACTGAGCAGATCCAAAAGGAAAAATGGGTGTTTGTTTCAGCCTCTGATTTAACGTCAGGCCACACAGCGAACTGGCAAGAAGCTAAAGTCGCTAAAGCTACTGGAGTCGATGATTCTAGTAAACTGTATTATACTTAAAGCATAACTCGGTCAATTCTCTAACGGGGTTAAATCATAGCTGTAAGATTATCAGACAGACCGATTGACTAGCCTAGCTATCCGGCTAGTGTTTGCCTTGAGAATAGCGTCATTGCCTTGGTTACTAGGGGTGCGTTCAACGGCGCTACGTACATCACGGAACAACAAGTGGTGCGGTCATCATTACTGAAATATAAACATATGCACAATTAATGAATCAGCATTGTCATAATAGCCACAAAAACATACCCAGAAACATTGACAATTAATGGTGGCCACCTTTAAGAAATATTATACAATGCAAATCATTATTTGGTCAATAAAATTACAAAATCCTTTATTAAGCCCACAACTGTGAAATTCACAATGCATATAAAAAGACACTTTAAAGATAAACAAACAATGAATAAATAAACATTTGTAAAGAGAATAAATATAGGCTAAATAGTAAACAGTCATTCATTTGGCTACTTTACATCTGTTTCTGTATTTTTCTTTTTTGTTGGAAAAGCTTTAAGATATCTGCCACTGAGAGTATTATAATTTTTAAGAAAAGAAAAAAAAATTTCATTTGAAAAATTCCAAAACCTATAAGCATCTTTCTAAAAACAATGTCCTTGTTACTCATGATAACACACAGACCTGCCTATCCAAACTTTTCATTAAGAACGGTTTCCTTTCTGAAACAGTTTGAAGTGAATGATCCTGTTTTTTGGGGTAACACATTCTTTAAATTAATTTTTTTTAATGAGATTCATTAACATTCACCAATCTAGTCACCTCTATTCTATTAGATTGGAAGCAGAAGTCATAAATATAATTTATATAATTTGGGGAAACTGATCTTAAAATAAAGTGAGATGGTGACAGAAGTTAACTGAATGTCACCTCAAACAGGAAAACATTGTTATGGAAAAAGGGGCTTAAATTCACACAGTGGAAGCAAGCACGTGGCTTGGCAATTTCCTTCTTGCCTGGCATATAATGTAACACTGAGGAGGAAGTGGCAGCAAGTGAAGGAGCTTTTCTCACAAACATGAAAGTGTAATTCGTGTTCAGAGGCTGAGCTGACTTCTCACTTTGGTGTGGCACTCTGTTTGACCTTGAACTGTCAAATAAATTTCAATAATTTTAATTTGAAAATGTTTTTACAGCTAAGTTAATGTGAGTTGTTGTCATTGTGTCATTTTTGTGCATAAAAGATATAAAACTATGAGCTCAACTCTAATCTCCCCCATATTCTGTTATCTCATATTATCCTTGCCAAAGTTCTTTAACATATTTTCTAATGAGAATGTTTGTTAGAAACATCTAGCCTGCCGTCTTTGTGCACCATTATTCTAAAAGGAATAATTTTGTATTTTTAGTTAATGCAGGTCTGATCATTTTGTCTCCTTAATACTTTTTTATGGAATTTCTTAAGAATGTAATTTACTGGTTATCTGAAAAGATAAGTTAATTAAATGTCCAGAATGTAGGCAAGACTGTATGCACCGAACTAGCAATTAGGTGTGCTTCAATGTATGCAACAGTAGATGGCAGTATAGAGTTAGAAAAGAAGTTTCATATGCTCCACTTTTTGACCATGAAATCTTGTGCTACATTGAAATGCTGGAGCCACTTCTCTTTGAGTATGGGAGTAAGGGAAGGTTGTGTGGAAGTGGTTAAACACATTTGACTCTGTGTGAGCCAAATCAAAACATCAGAGATTATGTTGCACTGTGTCCTTATGTCACTGAAGACAAAAGGAGACCACTATCCATTTTGTTAAGGAGGTTCCTAAGAAAAAAGAAGGAAACTTTTTTCCTCATGTCTCTCTAGCTGTAATTAAATTAGACTAACAGGCAGCGCATGGTTGGTCACCTAATCAGATGCCGCATAACGTGACCCCTCTGTGCTGCCCCGCACAAGTTCCCTGTGCAACATCAGTCAGACACAGATGCAAAGATGTTTCCCCTTTACCTTCAATCGCGGTGAGTCACTTTTCATTTCAGACAGGGGACAGACATCACTAGGTGATGGTTTGCAAGTCATGGATTAGCACTGAATTTTTGTGAGAGTCCCATATATTGGTGCTGACATTTTACAGTCATTTAGACCATGGGGCTTACTTTTCACCATTTACATGTATTTAGCTCTTGTGGGCGAACCATAATTAGTGGATGTTGATGTCATATCTGCAGCTGATCTACAAAATACTTTTAGCAAACAGAAGCATTTTGGAAATTGCAAGAGCAGATGTATGCATTAGAGCACAAAAACAGAATAAACAAAAGCATACAATAGAACATTATGGACTTGTACAAACAAGCAGTTGACAGATGCATGTTAAGTAAACTGCTGTAGTGTAACATTTAGGCTACTTAAAATTGTGTTTACTCAGTTTTTACAGAGTTGACATATTACTGTAAATGGTGAACCTCGGGAAATACATTTTGCAATGGGATGGTGTTTATAAGTTCGAGACTTTTAAATAACTTTTTCTGACTTTAAAAAGACACATTTGTGTATGTGTCTGCATGTGTGTATGTGTGGCCAGTTAATTTTTGTCCTGGTGTCAGTCATGTAGGGTTAATGTGGTTAAACTTATCAAATACTTTAGACTGGCTGAACTTTACCCTGATAAGATGTATTGCTGCATTGGTGGGACAGTGTCAATTGAGGGCACAACAATTCGTCTTCCCCCTGGTACTGATATGTAAAAGCCTGCAAAACAAAACAAATGTACAGGTTGGATTACCCTTTCAACCTCCTGTAAATATTGAGAAGGAAAGTATAGGCTAGAGAGGTGTAAATGTAGAAATATGTAATAAGTTGTAATTGTGTAATAAGTTTTATTAAATTAATCATTAAATTGATCAGTCATAATCAATTAATAGCAGGGTGACTGTCAAAGTTATGACCACTATCAATATTTGACTCTTTGGTGGATGGGAAATATATTCAGTGTAATCTGCCTGGTTTCCAAACTATCATTTATTCTCTAAACAAAAGATTCTGCTATTAAACCCAGTCCGCAGTACCCCCGCACAATAGAACTGCTCCGCGGTCAGTTTTGGTTGTCTGTATCAATACAAACACTGAAGAAAAAGAAGAAGAACTGATCTGGGGTCAGGTATCTCGATAATCCCGCGTCCCGACAAACCAATCAGCTGACAGCCGCATGACAGGCAGGCCTCGCGCTTGCGCAGTAGCACACTTTTGGTATCAGGAGTATGGCAGCGTCCTGAGCCCTGTTGGGGGGAATAAAGCCGTAACTGAGCACCTTCAGCATCATAGTGGGAAAACTGAGACGCACCGGACGCACTCAGAGGAGGGTGGGGGGCCGAGGGACGGCTACGAATAACACCCGTTAGCGATTTTACAGGTAAACGCCCCTGCTACCAGCTGCCACTGTCTTCAAGCTATCTTCTACATGTTTGCTTGATTGATCCTCGCTGCAAGTTAGCCGCTAGCTTGTGGCTAACCCAACATTAGCCTGCCACAGCCCCCTTTTTTCTGCATTTGGCAAACAAACGCTAATAACAAAATGTCTCTGGGATATTTGCTATTCTAGTTAGGTGAAGCAGTAGTGTCGACATCTCCACAAACGGAGCTGTCGTGCTTGTTTTTAGCCAGACAGTTGATCGTGTAGGCCCGCTGCAGAAGAAGTATGGCTAGCCGCTTGAGAGCCAGGTAATGCTGCTTGTCATGGATTTACTTGACAGATCGGGAGCCAACGCACATCCTTCAAATGGACTTAAGACTCGCCGTTAGCCAATTTAAAGCATTTTGTCTGTCTTCTGTCTTGTCACGTGTGAAAAAATCTGAAAGTGTATTATACTTTGCAAACAAGTGGTTCATGCAATCCTTAGGGAACCACATAAGATGAAGTAGAGTAGGTTTCTGACCTTAAAGTTTCCTATCTTGGTAGAGAGATTGCTTCATTTTATTGGCAAATAGCTGGAGGACATTACAACATGTCTTCAGTGCAGAAAAATCAGCAGCAAGAAAGACGAAAACCACTTTGCAGAAACCAGCAAGACATTCATGTTATGTTTTTGAATATGTCAAGACTATATTAAATATTTGATCAGATTAACTGGTGAATCTGAAGATCTAGATGTTGTTTTGGTGGGCAGTGCGCTGCTTTGGCTCATCTTTTACTTTCATTGTACTGTCAGTTCAGGTAACTTTGTATGGTTAGGTCCATATAATGATGTAATGGGTGTCATGGTTTGACCTTTGTACTCACCCTGATGCTGGAGCAGTTTTCCTATTCTAAAACGTTTTTCCTGTGAGCTGTGAGAAACAGGGTAGAAAACAAACAGCAAAAGAGCTGTTTGCACAGTCTGAAGTGTTAATTATTATGACACAGTAACCTGTAGCTGTAGCAAGCACCAGTAGATACTATGGGATTGTACAGACTTTCATAGAGATCCACAGAATGGCAACAGTTATGTTAGCAATGATCAGAAGCTGTTAAAGTTTCAGAAAGTTGTAAGACCTGTCTGGAACAAGGTATCATGCTGTGTGCTTTGCTTTGAGCGTTGTCTTCCTATTAACTTTTATCGTCTTTCTCTTTTTTTTGCTGAACTCTATGAATAATTTGCTATTGATCTGCATACAGATTGGAAGAGCTGGGAGGGGTAATCACATGACCCAATCCTGGAGTCTGCCTTGGTCTTTTTTTGTGTTTGTTTTGTATACACTCATCACAGTAATATAATACAAACGTCTCTGCCCTCTGCAGCAGCGAAGAGCACGTTGTGCACTGCTTGCTGCTAACGTCTCCTATTGTGCCTTCCATCAGCCCCCCGCTTTGGATTACATTCATTATGCAGCTCCATGAATGCGTGTTTGAAAAAAAAAAATGTTGATGCAAAACTTGGATCTCGACTGTTCCTTGCACCTTTGTTTCTCCAACACAGGCATCAATTATTGAGATGCGAAAACGGGCTAATTTGTAACGGTCCTCATCCAGTGTGGTGGCACCTGAGAGTAGCTTGTATTTGCATCCTGCCCTCTTTGAACACCAGACACTTGTCCCCTTGGTGAATGGTAGATTCCGTCATTTGTGGCTATTTTGCTGCTCCCTGCTTCAGTTGCACACGGAGAGGAAGGAAAACCAGAG